ACAAAAGTGAGTACACCCCTAAGTGAAAATGTCCAAATTGGGCCCAAAGTGTCAATATTTTGTGTGGCCACCATTATTTTCCAGCACTGCCTTAACCTCCTCCATGAAGACATCACGGAGCTGGTGGATGTTAGAGACCTTGCGCTCCTCCACCTTCTGTTTGAGGATGCCCCACAGATGCTCAATAGGGTTTAGGTCTGGAGACATGCTTGGCCAGTCCATCACCTTTACCCTCAGCTTCTTTAGCAAGGCAGTGGTCATCTTGGACGTGTGTTTGGGGTGGTTATCATGTTGGAATACTGCCATGTGGCCCAGTCTCCGAAGGGAGTATGTCACAGTACATGTTGGCATTCATGGTTCCCTCTATGAACTGTAGCTCCCCAGTGGCGGCAGCACTCATGCAGCCCCAAACCATGACACTCCCACCACCATGCTTGACTGTAGGCAAGACACACTTGTCTTTGTACTCCTCACCTGGTTGCCGCCACACATGCTTGACACCATCTGAACCAAATACGTTTATCTTGGTCTCATCAGACCACAGGACATGGTTCCAGTAATCCATGTCCTTAGTCTGCTTGTCTTCAGCAAACTGTTTGCAGGCTTTTTTGTGCATCATCTTTAGAAGAGGCTTGCTTCTGGGACGACAGCCATGCAGACCAATTTGATGCAGTGTGCAGCGTATGGTCTGAGCACTGACAGGCTGACCCCCCACCCCTTCAACCTCTGCAGCAATGCTGGCAGCACTCATACGTCTATTTACCAAAGACAATCTATGGATATGACGCTGAGCACGAGCACTCAACTCCTTTGGTCGACCATGGCGAGGCCTGTTCTGAGTGGAACCTGTCCTGTTAAAGCACTGTATGGTCTTGACCACCATGCTGCAGCTCAGTTTCAGGCTCTTGGCAATCTTCTTATAGCCTCGGCCATCTTTATGTTGAGCAACAATTCTTTTTTTCAGATCCTCAGAGAGTTATTTGACATGAGGTGCCATGTTGAACTTCCAGTGACCAGTATGAGAGAGTGAGAGCGATAACACCAAATTTAACACACCTACTCCCCATTCACACCTGAAACCTTGTAACACTAACGAGTCACATGACACTGGGGAGGGAAAATAGCTAATTGGGCCCAATTTGGACATCTTCACTTAGGGGTGTACTCACTTTTGTCGCCAGTGGTTTAGACATTAATGGCTGTGTGTTGAGTTATTTTGAGGGGACAGCAAATGTACACTGATATACGAGCTGTACACTCACTACTTTACATTGTAGCAAAGTGTAATTTCTTCAGTGTGGTCACATGAAATGATATAATAAAATAGTTAAACAAATGTGAGGGGTGTACTCACTTCTGTGAGATACTGTATATATATATATATATCTATATCTATATCTCTATATATATCTATAGATATATATAGATATAGATATATATGTCTGTATCCCAAAAGGGATGTGGGGGGGTTACTGGGAACACTTGGCAAAATGTGAAAGCCCTCCAAACAAAGGAACATGAGTGGTACAGGTCACATAATTACCCCTTATTTATCATTTTCAGAAGGAGTTCTAAGTAAATAATGACATGGACACTTTCACATAGCTGTTTAATTGAAAGACAAAACACACACACCAAAATAAAATGACACAACAAAAGTCCCATGTTGTAATCCAGAATCAAAGACAGCAATGTAATCCACATGAAGCATGAATTTCAACTTGGACATGTTATCTTGGTGGTGTGGAAGAGGAATGAGGGTGAATGTGTGAGAAAAAGGTGGTCGGTTTTTGGTCCTTGTTATTGGTCTTGTTGATGCGGTTTGAGAAGTGATAGTAGCAATTCGGAGCTTGTTGTTATTTTTCTAGGGGCTCAGAAAATAAGCCTAAACATCAAATTACACCACATGGTGATGTGAACATGAAGGCCTCATTCACACACAACGCGAGCAAAATTGTATATTGCGTATATACGCGTATTTACGTGCTTATATGCGTGTATATACGTGCGTATATTCGAGTATATACGAGCGTATGTGCGTATATGCGTGCACGATTTGCATTCCCAGAATGCATCATTCCTAATAGAAATTTGAATAAACTGTACGCACATACACACAAAAATACGCTGCCCCGACGCAGCTCGGTTCCATTCTGTTTTTGCGCATGTTTACGCTATGCAAATATACGTCTCCATATGCAGCATAGACACTCGTATATACGCGCATAGACGCGTATATACACAATATACAATTTTGCTTGCGTTCTGTGTGAATGAGGCCTAAGCAGCAAACACAATTCATCCCTGCGTCCATCATGGTAAGATATTTACCAACAGAGCATCACATGTTCTACAACATTTACCGATGTTTATATGCTCTTAGTGATGAAAAGAAATAACTTGCACATTTACAATTGCCTTGCTTCGCTCTGCGTGTGGTTTTGCGCATTTGAGTCATGGTGCAAGATTTAGGCGGTTTGGCGCAGTTCCACTATTACTTTATTAAATCAGCCCCATAGACTTTGAAGCAAACAAAGCCTTTTTTATATCAGAATTTTTTCTGGATGCCGGATGGATCCTGGATGGATACTTTTATATGCCTTTTATATATATATTTTCTAATAAATGATCTATTGGTACTCTCAGTCTCATACTGACATATTGTCTTCTGTTGTAAATGTAAAATGTGCATCAAATGATCTTTATTGCTTTGTTTAGAACTGTTTAAATCTAATAATGAATAATGATGGTTATTTAGCAGTAATTGGCTTTGTCTGTTTCTGTGAAAAGCAGCACTCTGTCAATCAGCTGCCGGGAATTATGTTTCATAGACAGTATCCTCTGCAGGGTGTGCTATTAAAAGTATTTCATTTTATCAACGTCATTCAGCCATCCGAACGTCAGTCTGTGACATAGATAAGAAGAGGGCTGTGAGCTAAGGCAGAGGGCAGAAAAAACGGGAAAGACAAAAATAGCAGAAATACATCTAAGTTTGTATATCAATAAGTGAAAGTAAACATATGTTGAAAAGCAAACAATGCATATTTTAGTGTTCCCAGAGACCCTGGGGTGAATTTGGACAGTTAAGTGCTGCGCTGCCTGCGCAGCATACAGGGAGAGGCAATTGGAAACATTCTTCTCCAGGCTGTGTTAGCATGAGTTGGGTGTGACTTTTAAGAAGCATGTCTCAACTAGAGAGGAAGGATGGACCAATAGTTTGTAATTCATGGGAAGCAGACCAAGAAAGACTGGGAAGACAGACAAATGCTGAGATGAGACGTACACAGACATAATCCCTGCCTGGAATCCACTAGGACAGTAAAAGTAAGTCCACTCTACTTTTAGTCGTAACATTTATTTCATCCTCCGTTGATCTTATCTACCCAATAATGGACTTTATTACAGTGACAGCAAGAAATCCAAGCAGGATAACCTCAACTACATCAGACTGCTGAGCCAGAGGCTACTTCACCACCAGGTGGGTACTGTAGTGCAGATTGTACGTGATACGTATAGGGAGTGGAATGATGATGATACATGCATGTCTGTTACTCAAAAATGTGTAATATTGTTCATGTATTAAATCTAACTTGAAACTTATAGTGGAAATCAGTGAGCTGTGTCTATGGATGTTCAGGTTTTGTTTAGCCATTTGATAGGGCCATTTTATAAATTTCAAAATCTATGTGATATATTCTATAAGTGTAATTTTATTATGTATTATATTTGTATGCATTAAAATGTATATTTCAAGCTCAAAATACCATTTATAACAAAGTTCAACAACCACATCAAAATGACAAAGCTTGAATTGCTACTTGCCTTATCTAGTTCAATAATGACATGGACCTGGGGCTCACTTTATTTGGTGTTTTAGCATTGTAAGATCCCAGATCAGAATATTCCAGTCAATCTGAAGACCACATAATCAAATTCTTTTAGGTCATACCCCAGCCAAGTGGTTTTGCATTCTTGCTTTGTAAATTCCTAAGTTTAATAAATATTGATGTACCTACCCAGGCAATAAACTAACTAAAATTCAAATTGATATCACCAAAATAAGAAATAAAGGCAAAACATGTTTTTAAAAGGATTGTATAACTGTAATAGATCGATAGCACCTATATCCATATTGGTTGTTTTAGTCCCCTGTTAATTTATAAGAACAATACGTTTATAACTGATAAAGCTAAATGTAAAACATTTAGAAACACTTCAGAACTCATGGGAAAATGTTCATTTTCCCTTCATTTAGGTATCATTTACATTGGTTCTTTGCATTAATAAGCATTGCATTAGGCAGCCTATTCATTTACTTCAGTGCGCTGCAATGAAGGTACTTTAAAACTGAATAGCATTGTATCATGCCAATGTGCATAACCCATGAAACCATGTGTTGGGTTAAGACAGGCATTATCGCACCAGTGTGAATGGACTCTTAATCATAGGTGAACGGATTCTACTTCCACAGTGTTATTTACACGTGTTTTCTCCTACCTGGAATTTTGGAAAATTAGTAAATTGTGCAGTTATATAACTTACAGTAGTGTTGTGAAGCACTGATATAAGACTTATTTGTATCAGAATTCAGAAACTATAGACAGTGATGTTTTAAGACTTGCAAAAGAAGACAAAAAACCCCCCAACAAATAGACAATCCATTCTGGTGGCTAAAAGTATGAACTTTCCCGTGCCATGCATGGAGTTTAAACATCTTATTAATACTCATGCTATAAACATCATTCTAGTAATCACTGTGTTTAATACTCAGGCAAATGAGTGCTGTGTCAGGTTTTTAGCAATCATGCTCAAAATGGATCTAACACCTAACTAAATTACATGTATAGGGTTATTCACAAAAGGGTGGAGAGTTTGGAGAAGGCAGGAGAAGTTATCAATCTGGGACAACATAGCTGAATTGGAAAGTGAGATGAATCGGAGAATATTTCCAAATTAGGTATGTTGTCCTAGATTGTTCACTTTGCCTGCCTCCTCCAAACTCGTCACCCTTAAGTGAATAACCCCCTTAGTTTTCTAGAGCACTTTGTATTAAAAAAATATTTCTACATACTACTGTGTGCATGCCAAGTTCTTCTGATCTCCTCCAACCTCTTTGCAGCCACTTCCTGCCTACATGCATACGCTCCAGTGGTGGGTGGGTGTCATTGCTCTGGTCCATCTATGGAGGAACATGCTTGCACAATGTGTGCCAGCACATTAACTTATCGTCATTCCTAAAAGCACAGGGTGACAACACAGGAGAGTAGCTGGCATGCAGAGGTGTTGTCCTTTATAGCAAGAAGCACCTGAACAAGGTCCTTCATGGCAGGATCACCAGGTATTTTTTAATGAAATTTTAAAATCATTTACTGTTATACTTATATTAAGTTAAAGGTTATATTAAAGTTTAGTGATACACTTGAACCTTTCATTTCCCCAAACAAATAAATAAAATAGTATCTTTAAAATCAACTTCACCAGTAGGGGCAGGACGTCTTAAGACGCCCTCCCGCTCTGAGCAGACGTCCATCTGGCCGTTCACAAACGGCCATGGACGTAAGGTAGTTAAATGCACTAACAGGGCTATTCACAAAAGAGTTTGTAGAAGGCAGGAGAAGTGAACAATCTAGGGCAACATAGCTGATTTGGACAAATTCTCCAATTCCGCTCACTTTCCAGTTCAGCTAAGTTGTCCTAGATTGTTCACTTCTCCTGCCTTCTCCAAACTCTGCACCCTTTTGTGAATAGCCCTCTTAATGTTACTGATAAGCATTATTGATTAGTCACTTCTTCCTCAGACTCTAACCTAGGAGTCTTGCCTATTGTCACAAAATGGGAGGAGGTGTCTTTGACATGCAGGCTGTAGCTTGGCAAGGTAATTGTGCTTAAAGGGGAAAAAAAATGGCAGAATACTGTACTAAGCTATCTATCAATAGAAGCAGAAAAATTTTGAATTTAGGGATATCTAAACCCAAGAAAAAAATGGTAATATAGTGCAGCTTACCCTTCTTTACATGTGGTGGCTGCATTAGTTTTTTTTCTGCAGGCTAGGAACCTTTTCAGCGAGTACAGAAAATACCTGTTCATCTTGACAAAAATGCCCTTGCCACTTACTCTAAACTGAACTAGAAGCGCAAACAATCATAGCCCCCCTCCCCCCCTCCTTCTCGTTGTAGTAGAGATAAATAGAGAAAGACCTCAAAAGAAAAGCCTGGGTGACAACAATTATTATTATTATTATACAGGATTTATATAGCGCCAACAGTTTGCGCAGCGCTTTACAATATAAGGAAGACATTACAATCACAATACAATTCAAGACAAGATGGTAAGGAGGGCCCTGCCCCTGAGGGCTTAAAATCTAAAAGGGAGGGGGAAGTGATACATGAGGAGGGCACAACAATGCATTCCTTCATAAATACAGTGAAGTGAGCAATGTCATCCTCAGACAGGAAGTGTGTTATTCACAGAATTACCAAGTGAAAAGAAGAAAACTAATATGGCCACTGCATCTAAGGACTTGAAAGCTGCAATTTATTACATTTCATTTTTTGGGGATCTTAATACACTCTAATTACTTCCTGTCCAGCAGTCGTAACTAAACAGCTGAAAGGGGGCTTCTCGAATGTGGGTGTGCGTTTTAAAACGTCCTTTCCTCTGCTTTGGAACGCACAAGTGGGAAACTAACTACAAATTAAACAGCCCTATAGTCGCCCGATTGCTTGATTGTTGTGCAGGTGTGCTCCCCCCTCCGGCACTGCGGCTCTCTGACCTGAGATTGGAGGGACATCAGCACATGTCATCTCGTTGATCTTTCCTCCAATCTCTGAATGCCGAAGTGACGTGTACTATATCACTTCCACCTTCAGCTGTCAGAGTTGTTTTTTTTAAAAAAAATTGGTAAATTTTTTCTTTATATAGGAAACAATTAAAAAAAACAGTGGTGATTTAATACCACTAAGAAAAAACTTTGTCCCAAAGCAAATTATATAAAATTCTTTCAGTGGCGTTGCATGTGGCGGAATAAATGTCAGTCAAAGTACTGAAGCGCTGAACAATTGCTTGGCCAGGAAGGGGGTTTAACACCCCAGTCTTTAAGTGGTTAAGGAATGCATTTACCAATAATCTGAGAAAATGAATATTAAAAACGTTTGTGGCTACTTAGGTAACTGCATCTAGCATGTATAAAGAGAAGTACAACTTCTAAAATGTTTCATATGTTTTGTTAATGGTATAAGTATGTAATTCAGTAGAATGTATACAGTAGAATATTGCGCAATGCAAACATTTTTGTCAACTAATATTGTTTTGAAAAGTAAAATCATTCCATATGGGTTGTGCAGACTTATCCTTAGCACAGGGGAGAGCATGCTTATGCCTGGAGGCAATAGCTGTTAACAGACAAACCGTTCCTCGCATACCATGCTTGTCAAATGCAGTGTTTTTTCAGCAGTTATAAAACCCGGTATACAAACCTGGTAATACATTGATAGTGCAGTTGGAGTATATAATACTTTAATGGATAGAGCTAAGCAGTAGACTGGATATTGTGGTTAGTAGATGTCAATAGATGTTTTCTCTAATGCATGGCCAGAGTATGTTCAGAGTTTTAGACTGTGTATTGGTACGCACAATATGTAATATAGTGTGTAAACAATGCAATCAGTCACATGTATTACAATTTTAACCTGTGTAAATGTGGACTTTGTATTCACATTCTGTACTAAAATGTAATTTATTATGCTTTTGAAAGAATTGTGACATCTCCTAGCTCAGACAAGTTTGCTAATATAAAAAGTAAACCCCACCTCACATAAGAATTTTAGCCTTGCAAGGAAATAATTTCCAAATGTGTCCATGGCAACTGCTTTTTTAAGCGTATAAGGGTCATTCCATGTCACTTGCTTTTTTTCAGGGGTGGTGGGAAAAATGTGGTTGCATACATGAGGCTCTTTTTTTTTTGCTCTTCTTTATTAGGATTATAATTTCATATTCATACCACAAATCCTCTTTATGACATGTACCAACAAGCTAAAACAATGCTCCCATTAAAGCATAGCTTCCCTATGTAAATTAAGGTAAAAGTAAACTGCTCATAGAACATTTTAAAAAAGCCCCTAGGAGCTGTTAGCCATAAAGTGATGATATGCACAGCATATTAGCAGATTATGGCTGATTTACCTGCAGACGTCATCCCCTCCAGTGCTGCTTCCCTCAGTCACCATTGCTTACATCTCAGTCCTGATCCTCTTCCAGTTTCCGAGTCTTTGGTCTCTTCATTGGCTGGATCCCAATGATGTAAGTATCTATATTATTAGTAATTTTAGTAATTTTGCAATATGAAGTAAAAAACATTGCTTGCCTCTAGGTTTACACATGCTCTTGTCTATGCTAAACTCTTGCTTCTGATTTTATTTCTTCAAAACAATATTAGTTGAGTAAAAAATGCGTATGTTGCAAAATATTCTAATGTATAAA